AGAGCTTTACAATGTTCGTAGTGCTCAGTCTGCAGGTAAATGCTACACAAAAGTATGCTTCAGTTTTAAATGCAGTACTATTAACGAGAGCGAACTGAAAGTGTGAGTTTACGGACACTGAAATGGAGGTTGTTTTTGTTCTGGGCCTGACAGCTCTCGGTGCTGGACCTCTGCTCTCACAAAATAATACGTTTCCCCTCCAGAGCTCCCACTCCCTCTGCTGTTTGGGTCTAACCTGGTCGCCCAAACCAGGTCGATCTTCAGCACAGAAGAGTAGCTTAACCAGAGGATTCTTCACTTTATTTCTTCATCGTATGAGTTTATCAAATGTCATCTGCGATTTTAGTATTGACGTTTTGATGCCGTCTTCTGTAGGATCATGGCCTGAATGAATAAAACGTTTTTATTTTCTCTATGTGTTTGATTGAGGCAACGTATGTGAAGAGACACGACAAAGATTTTTGTTGTATTTGTAGTCATCAGCGATGCCAAGAATTTTGAGTTTGATCTTTAACACACATTGCCGTATTGGATTGATTTCACAGTGACAGTAAATTTGTCTGGTGTACGCATAATTCATTGTGGTTTTACTGCAAAAGGCAAATCAATAAACTGATTCTGAATCCGATGGAGTTGAACACATTTTTCAATACTAGTTTTTTCACATAATCTTTACTGGAAACATCAAGAACGAAATAAAAAAATTGCATTATACACAAACAGTGCAAATTAATACTTACATGAAATGCATAAAGAAAAGGAATAAAAGGAAGTAGAGAGGAGAGGGAGGCTAATCGGATTTAATTCATTTTAGTGTGTGTGTGTGTGTGTGTGTTGGTCACTGTTATTGCTGAATATTATCACAGTTTAAACATTATCAAGTGTAAATGTATATATTGTTGTTTGTGACAGTTGTAACAGTGTGAAGACAGTGGTTTTTTTTGTTTTTTTTGTTAGTGTGTGTGTGTGTGATGGTGTAGTTGTGAAACGTATAAACAACAAGGTGTGTTATGGGGCTTTCAAAGACAGTATTGGCATTTTTTTTCAATACTCATAGAATCAATCAATATCAATAGTTTTGGCTTAATTTCTGCAATCACTACTGCCAGGACACAAACAAGAACGGTGGACTTCCTTCAAGGTTTGGTGGCTAGTTTAGGTATAAATCCGGGAGAGCATTTAGTTAACTCTACTCCGGAGGGTTCCACCTGGTCCATGAGGGTCCCACCCGGTCCAGGAGTGGCGCCAGGAGTGTGTGGAGTACTGCAAGGGTAAAAACGTGCGCACATCACTCTCTCTCCAGAGTCCTGTCCCCTGCTCTGGCTCGTCTCCATCTGTCGCTATCTGTCTGAGAGATGGAGTGTGAAGCTGCAGCTGTGTAGCATTAGCCTTCAGTGCAGGTCAGATCCACAGTGTCTTCCAAAAACACCTTCACTTCACTCACCAGAGACGGCTGGAAATAAATTAGTTTGTCAAGTAACCGTTCGGAGATGGATAGTGTAGAATGCAAGGTTCTTCTCTTAGGGATAGGGTGGGGAGCTGAGTCACATATGGGGAGCTCTGGGGCCAGTAGCTGCTCCTCCACGTCAAGGAGTCTGCTGAGTTGTCTCTGGCATCTGATTCGGACGTCTGCCTGAAGAAGAGTGTCTGGGTAAGACCAAAGAGAGATACTAGAAAGAAACCAGAAAGACCTGAAAGAGACCAGAAAGAGACCAGAGAGAGACCAGAGAGAGGTGCTCCACTCTGAAAGGGGACAGTGAGCTCTCTGTTCTGGAGGTTCTTTATGAATCCAGACTTTTCAATTCAGATCTTCTGACTCTTCTGGCCCCTGGAAAAGCAAGGTTCCAGCTTCTTCCCACTGGCTGAAGATGGCTGCGTGAAGATGGCTGCAGGACACCTGGACATGCTAACAGCTTCTTTCAGCTGTTTTCAGTCTGCACAAAGCACTTTAATGATCTTGCACTTGTATTAAAGCTGTTTGTGTTGATTTATTGCACAGTGGTTATCGTTCCTTGTACTTTTTAGCTTTTCTTACTTTATAGATTTGTCTGATACTCACTGGGGATTTTGTGGGATAATGTGTTTTTACGACTTAGCTCTGGAGAAAAGGGAGGGATAATGATGGGTTATCATGGCTAGTTAGAATTTAATGTTACTCTTAATATTACTCTTAATAAGAGTAAACTTTGTCAACACCATTTAAATTCAGTTAATTCTTAATGTTTTATTTGACATGCTGTCTGGCCTAATGGGGCTTGAACTATTTTCTCTTCTCAGTCTCTTCTTTGTAATCTACCCGACACATTTCATGAAGTTTATGATTTAATATGCTGCACAAAACCTAAAATAACTGCCCCTTACCCCCAGATATTTTGCATGTGATAAACCAAGAAGTAAAGCTTCTGCTTCACTTGACTCCCATTTCAAACCTCCCTGATTCCTCCTTCCGTGTGATGGCATCTTGTGCTCAACGAGACTGTATCAATCAATTATTAAATGCACTTACCTGTGGAAGAGCTCGTTGGTGCATGGAAGAGATTCAAACCAAGAACTGGTCCTCCATTTGGTGAGCATCAGTTATTGGAGATAAATGAAACTTCTATTCAAACGCAATAAAATATAGACCATAAAAGCATTGAGTGCCCATTCATCCTCAACAGTTTAATAACATTCTCCATCTTGTTTTCCTCGGCCTTGAGTTTTGCCTCCTGTGGCTCAGAGAATTTACTTCTCTCTATGGCCTCATAGGAAAGTCATCTGTAACATGTTAGTGCCATGTGAGAGAGGTGCACTGTTGTAGCCAAGGGCACAGTTTGTGCAGGGACCAGGAGGACATGTCCCCACCAATATTTTGGGAGGACTATAATGTCCTCACTGAATATAAGAGGAATCCACTGTCTCCAGTGTACTCTCTGCGCTCCTCTGCGCAATGTACTTTCTAAAAGTAAAGTCCGACTGACACCGCTTTCTAAAAAGCGATCAGTGAAGCCATGCAGCCAGTGTCAAGACACGTGATACATACTGTATGTTTTCTCTCTGTGTTGTAAAATATGAACGTGTAAAGGTTTTTGCCTTGGATTTTGTTAGGATTGTAAAACAGTCTGGGTTCGATTCCCGGTCAGAACGTGGAGATTTAATTAAAAAAAATAATTATAAATTGTATCCTCACCAAAGCTAAAACTGAACCTATGCCATTAGTTGTGACGCCCAACTCCCTTTAGATTCTGTTTCAGTTTATTTGCCATTTTCAGCAAAAGCACGGCTAAAAACATCCCAAAAGTAAAAGAAACACTATCAAAAGTAAAAAGTGATTACAGCTGAAAGAAGCTGTTAGCTTATCCAGATGTCCTGCATCTCACCCAACAATATCTTCTGTCAGAGGGAGCTGGAACATGGCTTTTCTAGGGGCAAGAAGAGTCAATGATTATTCTAAGAGCTCGGTTTAAGCGGTCTGGATTCTTAAAGATTGTCCAGAACAGACAGCTCACAGTCCTCTTTCAGAGCGGAGCACCTCTCTGTGGTCTCTCTCTTGTCTCTCTCTCTGGTCTCACAGCTCGCAGTCCTCTTTCAGACCGTAGGTGAGGTTTACGATTGTCCATAGCTGTTTGTTGGGCGCTACGAATGCCTATCAATTGTTTGCACATACCTAATCAGAGAAGACTAATTAATATTATCTGTAAACAAACTAAAATTAAAAAAGAGTAAAAGTGCGTCATTCTGGGTGCAGCAAGTGCAGTTCAAAAGGCTTCCAGGCCACATTGAGCAAGGGCTTTCCCAGGCTCTTGATTTAATTACATTAATAAGGATAAAGAAGAACAATCTGGCCAACATCTGCATTTCACGGACACTTGGCTCAGTGTGGGGGCCACTTTGGTTGAAAAGTAGAGTTTCCAAATGATTTTCTTGCGTTTAAGGACCTGCACTCGTACCTGCACACTGACAGGATTTCTCCAGGTCGTAGCATGAGTCTGTTTTGGGCAAAAGCACTGACACTGGTGCATCTCCACCTGGGTGACTGGGCTATATTTAGCCTGATGTCTGTCCATTATCAATTCATGACTCCAACGCCCTATAGAAAGCGCCACAGTCCTCGGCCTCAGAACAGCAGCATCTCAGCCAATCACATCAGTGTCAGGGTATAGCCATGTCTTACTCCAGGGGGACACAGCAAAGGGAAAGAGTGGTGGAGAGTGCAGAGGTTGCCTGAAACATTTCTCTGAATACCAATCATAAGATGTATAGCTGAGTGGTATATAACAAATTTTGGAAACCCCAAAAATGAATACCTATCACACTCTTTGAGAAGTGTTACGTTATAATGCAGGCTCAGCCCTCAACCATACTCATTCTAATGTAGGTGAGGTGTCATGCCCAAGGACAACGGTGACAGTTAGGTACTTTACTGCCGCAGTCGCCCCACTGTGGCACCTGGAGTTCCCAGAGGTTTCTCATCACAGCACTAACCAGGCCCTGCCCATAGCTTCAGAAGTTGACCTTGGCTGTGAAGTGCCAAACTGTTGTTGTGTCCTTAGGCAAGACACTTCACCCACATTAGAATGGGTCTGGTGTGTGTGTGAATGGTTGGTGATGGTGGTGGAGGGGCAGATGGCCCAGACTGGTTGCCTCTCTTCTGTCAGTGTGCCCCAGGTCTAATCTTAGCTGAGCCATAGAATTTCAACTAATAATTGTTTATTTTAGCCAGAATTAAGTAGTTTGAGTATTAATGTGAATAGAACAGAGTATTGAAAGAGGACAGAATGACATAGCACAGGGGTTCCCAAAGTTTTTAGCCCGCAACCCCCAAAATAAATGTCCTGTGCCCCGCAACCCCCCATCACCCCCACCCCACCTTAACAGCCCTTCTCGTCGCGTGACATGTAAAGCATGTATTTGTTCTCTGGCCCTACACTCCTCTACACTCAGCAGCCGAGTCCCTGCGCGCTCTGCCCGGAGTGTAGATAGACATGTGACGTTAGCCTCTCTTCAGCAGAGTCTTTCTCATGCGTGAGGTGGGCACGAGCCGTAAGCCGGGTTCAAGTGATGGGCTTGGTGGGCTCCCCCCTTAGCAGAGACGGAGGGCACTTCTTGCTGCTCACCCTCACTGTTCTCCGCTGCCATCTCGATTTTCCCTCCACCGCAGTCTCACCATCCATCGGCCTCACCTCTGGCACATGTGACTTTTCTCCCACTTCAGGTTTTTCTATTGTGGAAATCAACCACGTTTCATTTTAAGGCACTTAAAGCAAAGTACTTTTTTGTACTTTGTTGACGCTGTAGTAATCTCGTAGTGTCTGGGACACAATTACATTTGCATTAAAATATTATTATATTTTTATCAGACTCTTCCATAAACACAATTTAACAAGTTAAATGTTATGAGGTCCTATTGAACCAAATCAATTGCAACACAAATATTTAAGGGCTATATATTTTTAAACATTTTTTATGGAAATCATCTCGTAACCCCCCGGGGTCACTTGGGGAACTACTGACGTAGCACATGGTCCTTTTAGGCTGAGAGTAAAGTGATAAATGAAATGTTCTATTCTTGACTGTCCTTATGCCGAGAGTTAAACATTGAAATTAGAATGTGAGACGAGCAGTCCTTAATGTAATACTGTACATTGTCCTTGTCACACTGGATCTGGATTCCCTCTACTCTCTGAGTGCACGGACTTGTTTGCATTCAAACTGCATTTCTGTCTGAGAGTGAAGCAACACAACCATATGTTACTCAGAGTGGATCAGAAATGGACAGTGTTTTAGCTGGGGATTATTGTCCCACCCCATAGAGTGATAGATTGTTTATTTATAAACAATCTATCACTCTATGGGTGACAGATTGTTGTTGGGTGATCATATTGTTGTTTATGACCTTTAAAGCTGAGGAACCTAACTTATTTGATCTATATCTTATTAGTTAATGTGAAAAACCGGTCACATTTCAATAGCATAATCTCTTTCATAAATTAATTCAGTGCTGGTTCAAACTACAGTTGTCTCGACATCAGCACACACAGACAATTTACAGACATTTAGTCCGGGTCTCGCTAGATGTAAAGTAGAATGACAACAAATGAAGGAGACGCAGCTCCTTATAGTAGTAGAGCGTGGTGAAGTCACAGGATGTCATAAATACACATGTCATTCAATAATCTTGTAGACTAGTCCTGGTTAAACTCCATATCTCTGAGTCTGAGCCTGAGGGTCTCACTCTACAGGCTCTTATTGTCCCTCCAGATGTCCACAGCCCCATTGACCCCAGAGAAGGGTCGAGTCAGCTGTCTCCGCTATTACCCAAATTTCATAAGACACATTGGCCTTATGATTTAGATAAGTGATTTCCGTATGGCCACAGCATGCGTCATGTGAAGCGGAGAGACTCACGGAGAGACTCATGGAGAAACTCGCGGAGAGACTCGCGGAGAAACTCGCGGAGAAACTCGCGGACAGACTCGCGGAGAGACTTGCGGAGAGACTCGTGGAGAGACTCGTGGAGCGGCGTGCCAGGGGACAGGGCGCTTGTGGTGTGTACGGCCATAAGAACAGTTACTTCCCTCCTGCAGTTGGATTTGTGAACGCTTCAGAACTCACTGTTTCCCCTTTAAGACCATCATCTTATACGACTGTCACTTTACTGCACTGTTAATTGTGTGTACTTAGTGCTCTTGTATCCAATAATAACGATAAGAAATGTTGTGTTTATGCCTTATGACTGTTTTTACTTTCATAACTCGCCTCGAGCCAAAGCACATTCCTACTTTGTGACTTCCTGTTACTTACAATAACAAAAAAAACAACAACCGCCAGCTGAAACGTTCCTACCATGACAACACTAATAGTTACTCCACAAACTACACACACTTATGGCATCGCCTGCCTTTCCCTCCATTGCTCAATTTGTCATATGTTTTCTGTTTATTAGTCAGTAACGAGCCCCTCAGGAGTAAACAAGTTGCGTAAGATATTTGATTTGCGCTAAATTCTCGGTTCTGTGCAGGCAGCTACAGAGGACCTGGAGGGACAAAAGCCATGACCCAGATGAACGCCCGTTACTACCCTTATAGACGCATTACCATCATTTCCTCATATCTAAACTGAGCTTCAACCTATTTAAGTACACATTAGATTCTATGCAGTACATTCAACAATAATGGACTTCTCATTAAACCATCACAGACCGATTGCTACAACTCAATTATGGAAAATACTTAAATTACACATTAGAAATTCCATAAGCGAGTAATTATATATTTAACTGCGGCGCATAACGAGCTGCTCACATGAAAGAAAAGGGCACATGCAGCGTCTAAAGAGAGCTTAATTGCATATTGGACTATGTAAATGCACCATCTTTAATGTGATTCAATTCCAGTTATATGTATTCCAATGGCACTGGTGAGGTGTTATGGGACGTGCACAACTTAAAGTGGTTTATGAGTTGATACCACAGCCAAAATGCATGCATCTTTTATGTTATTTGATTTAGTTTGTGGTCCTTAAAGGATGTTTCAAAGTGTACAGTGGGAAACAAACCTCAAAGGAAATATCTATACTGCAAAAATTTTTGAAAAAATGCAAAATATTTTTTCATTTGAGCACGGCCTCAAAACAAGATTTGCCAATGGGACAATGAAAATGATTGTGTTTTAAAAAGATACAAGAAGTGTCTCCCTTGGAATGAGAAATATTTTTAACACAGTCAGAATGTGCTCAGATTCAAGCAAATATTACCTCATATTCTATATTTTTGCAGTGTAGGCACGAAATCGATACAAGACGGCAATCTATATTTTAGAGAACATTTTCCCAGATTAATGATCACCCTCAGGTGCAGTTTCAAGTCCATACATCGCCACCAGACGCATTAGGTGCCTTAGGTCACGTATGTTGTGCTCACGTGTCAAGACAACTGCTGCTGCTGGAGGAGGTCATTCCTTGTTCTGAAAGAAGAGAAAGGAATTGTGGACCAAAGATTTATCGCTTTGCAGATTCAAACTCACTCTGTACTCATGGAGCAACTCATTGTCAAAATTTCGGGTTAGGGTTAGTACGATAACTAATTTTGATAGATGATATAACTAAAAAGTCGTTGCGATAATAAAGTCCGCAATCCACTGATACGGGTACAGTTCAGTTGGACAATCCTTGCATTGCAGCTTTAAAGGTTTATCCATTTCATTAGTAAATATGCCTAATGAAAATCAGATTTCACTAGCATTTAGTACTATTGATTTGAGAAATCTGCAGAACCCTCATTATTTTACATAGAAAATCACATAAAACAATCACTTTCAAAGAAAATGTAATCATTGATCCTCAAAACCAGTTATTGTAGCTCAACAATATGTCAATACTTATAGGAATTATTGTGTGTGTTTGGGAGAACTTTGGTGGTGCACTTTCGACTTTGATGGTCCTCAGTCTGATGGTGAAACACATATCTAAATATTTGTGTTTTCAGTCATTTGTAGGAGTGTTTTGAATGAGAGCATCGTCTTGTGGCCAAAAATAGTTGATGTTTTCTTAAGTCAAAGAGAACTGTTGGTCCTCATTGGGAAATCAAACTCTCTTTTGGTTTTAACCTTCAGGCTCCATCTTACATCAGTGACCTGATCCAGCCTTACACCCCAGCCAGGGCTCTGAGGTCTGTGGATCAGAACCTCCTGATGGTTCCACGCACTCGCTTCAAGACCAGAGGAGACAGGTCCTTCCAGGCTGTTGCTCCCAAGCTTTGGAACAATCTCCCGCTCTCTCTGCGTTCTATAGAGTCTGTTGAGTCCTTCAAAAGTCAACTTAAAACTCATCTACTGTATTTGTTCAGGCTTTTGCATAATTTTGTCTTGCTGTTTTTACATTGTCTTGGCCTTTAAAAATGTGTATGTCTAATTTATAATATGTCTGTTTTTATATGAGTGTAAAGCGCTTTGTGACCCTGGTCTGTGAAGGGCACTTTATAAATAAAGTTTACTTACTTACTTACTTACTACTTACTTGGTCCTCACTATGTAGTATTTACAAGAATTTGTGTGGGGGGTTCTTTATGGCCGCATCAGCAGGTGAAAAGCCAGATTCCGTCAGACCACTGAAGCTGTGCATGGCAGGGCCTGGTTATTACTGTGATGGGAGACCTCTGGGAACCCTAGTTGCCACAGACGGGCGGCTGCGGCTGTAAAGTGCCAAACTGTTGTTGTATCCTTTGACAAAACCCTTCACCCACATTTGAATGAGTCTGGTGTGTGTCAATGGTTGTTTGCGGTGGGAGGGGCCAGAGCTCAGAGCGGAGCTGGCCCTCCTGACCAGCTTGTACAGTCTACTCCTGTCCCGCTCTATGCTGCCCGGGGCCCAGCCCACGGCAGCGTAGTGTATGGCAGAAGCTACCACAGAGTCATAAAAGGTTCTGAGCAGAGGCCTGCTCACTCCGATGGACCGCAGCCTCCTCAGATGGAGGCCACTTTGGCCCTTCTTGTACAGGGCGTTGGTGTTATGGGACAATAAACTGGTTATTGTTAATGTGAACACCCAGGTACTTGAAGCTGTCCGCCAGCTCAATGTCCTCCCCCTGGATGTTCAGTAGTGTGTGGGAAAGTGGTCTTCTCCTGAAGTTGATGATCATCTCCTTGGTCTTACTGGTGTTCAAGCACAAGTGGTTGCGCTCACACCAGTCGACAAAGTCTGCGATAACCGACCGATATTCCATTTCGTTCCCCTCTTGACACACAGCCCACGATGGCGGAGTCGTCGGAGAACTTCTGCAGGTGACAGCTGTGTGTGTTGTTTGTTTCGTAATGACTATGAATCTGCTACAGGGAAAACTGGATCCATACATTCTCCTTTTATGATCCAAAACTCTTTATCTTTTACTCCGCAGCCTGTAAACCAACACGCCACTACATCTCATTGTCAGCCTTTGTACTGTATGTGTTCAGCTTCTCTTTTATCGCCTGCTGCATTATTTTAGCCTGACCTCCACCACAAGCTTTATGAATGAATCAGAGGCAATCTGGAGCCCGGACTACCATTCACAAGGATCTGCCACCGCCGCTCGCCTGCCTCTCTCATTTCATCAGCTTTTATTCTCCTAAATGTGCTATAATTCATGTGTTTTCCAGTGGCTCCGTGTGGGAGAAATGAGGCGTACATTTCTTTTATGCCGCAGCGATGGTGGGGGAGTGAGTCTGAGTGATGTTGTGTGCATTAGAAGAGAGGGCCGCCAGGACGAATGTTGGTGACCGACTGAGTTACAAACACCTACATACACCTGCCCTCATTAACTGATGTACTATATGCTTAGGTCTTGTAAATAGTGTATTCTTGAATGAATGTTGTCTAATGTGTCAACACTATAACGTTAGTCTTGATTTATGTTGTCTTTGTCTTGTATTTTTGTCATGTTAATGCTTTTTAATGTATTCTAATGGATTTTTAACATCACAGCCAAGGGACTACAGATGAAAAATAACCTCCTTGGCTTATTCTGGATTGGTTTAACTCATGTTTAATCATGTTTTTTATTAAATTGCATTGTCCTCTTTGAAATAAACTAAACTGAAACTATGACTAAGAAGAGGGAACTTTTTGGATCTTTTAAAATCTCAATAATGATCTCACTTAATTTAATATAAAACACAAGGAGCTGACACATGTTTGTTGATGTTTACTTTTCTCATCTGTGCAATTATAGTCGGAATCTCAAGTTCGGGATGTTATACTCGCTTCTTTATTATTTAAAATACGGAGGATTTCCCCAAATTTTAGGAAATAACCACCCTCTCCACTTTTGGGAAAAATTCTCTGGTCTTTTTTGACGAGTACGTATCACGTATTTACAATTGGGAGGACCAATATTCTTGATGATCCACCCAGAAGTAAATCCTCCTGTATGCCTTCAAAGTTAAAGATTTTAAACTTTATTATGCTAAAACTAGCAATTTTAAACTTGGTTCTTAACAATGATAAAGATAGGGATTTATTGTCAATTTATCTTGTGCTGTGTGCTCTTAGTTCATACTGTTCCCTTACTGGTGATGCAACACTGACAATTCCCCACTGTGGGACGAATAAAGGATCTCTTCATCTTAACCCGACGTGCAGATAATGATTAAAGGCAGAATTTTTGTGCCAAAATGCCTGTGCAAAGAATTGTGATTTGAGAAAAGAGAAGTCACAATTTACATAAATGAGCACAGAGACATCAGATGGCAGAGATGCAATATGACGACATTTTTGAGAAACCAATCAGAAAATGCACGCAGACGAATGCTTTTGCTTTGACAATTGTTTCTTGTACTTTTTAGCTTGTTTTATGTACTTGGCTGGTGCACATAGCGGGCACATGTATTCCAATGGGTTTTTGTTTTACTGCAAATGGCAAATAAACAGAATGTGAATCTGCTGCAGGGACTTAGGGACCTCAGTTGAAGGCCATATCTCAGTCCTGTACAACTGCTCCAACTATTACTACTATAGTCATCAGCAGTTCATATAACAAATTATCAACTAGTTTTATCGAATGCATTTCACTGTCAGAAAAACAAAAACAATTCCTGATTATCTTTGAGGAGATTCCAACTCTGACTCTTAAAATCACATTCCATACGTCAGTGTTTATCTATACAGTGGTTTATAATGAATGAATCTTTATTTTCTATTATACCGTAATTGCCGCACTATAAGATGCTGCAATCTACAGAGAGATGTGTCCAATGTATTTTCATGTTGTTAGAGCAGTGTGCGTTCCTCAATCAGCTGTTTGTTTCTAGATCTGATGACATACTGTACCACACATTCCTGCTTCCCGGGGGGTGTTTATGTGAACAGTAGGACAGAGTATATGGACTTATTATTTTGACTAAAGGCTTTTGGCAGATACAAGCTACAGGCTACCAACCTCCTCAGATATATTATTCTTATGTTGAGTCAAAACCAACTAAAATCTCTGAACGAAAGGACGTGTTGTTCCCCTCTGGGTCTCCACTCTCTTTCAGTTCCTTCTTTGGCATTGCATAATGTTGCATGTATTTATTTATCAGGACAATGTACATTTATAATAATAATCCTAAAGGGCATTACTGATGGGAATTAAAATGCATTATCTTGTC